CGCCGGGGGGCCCCGAGAAGGGCCCCCAAAGTAACCAAGATTGTTCGCCGTAGCCATTTTGGCCGAAGAAAGCCCAAGGGCTCAAGCGCAACCTTCCCGCCACCTGTCTCAGCGCACCACTCAGGCCCTCGTGATGGTGCTGGAGGCTCAGCTGCAGCAGGCCATGCTGCTGAAGAAGGTGGTTGACGCCATGAAGGACCTGTGCAAGGACGTGAACTTCGACTGCTCAGAGAAGGGACTTCAGGTGCAGTCCATGGACAGCTCGCACGTGGCCCTGGTGTCGCTGCTGCTGCGGGAGTCTGCGTTCGCGGAGTTCAAGTGCGACAGGCCGACCTCGCTGGGCATGAACGTGGACTCGCTGGGCAAGATCCTGAAGATGTGTGGGCAGAACGACTCGCTGAAGCTGCGCGCGCAGAATGATGCAGACGTCGTGAGCTTTCAGTGTGAGAGCGGGGAGGACGACCGGATTGCCGACTTCGACCTGAAGCTAATGCAGATCGAGAGCGAGCACATGGAGATCCCCGAACAGCACTACAAAGTTGTGGCCAAGCTGCCGTCAGCGGAGTTCCAGAAGATCTGCCGCGACCTCAAGGAGTTCGGGGAGACGATGCAGGTGAAGGCCACCAAGGAGGGCATCACGTTCACAGTCCAGGGTGACATGGGCGCTGGCAACGTCATGCTGAAGCCGCGCGCGGCGGAGAAGCCCGAGGAGGCGGTGAGCCTCACAGTCCACGAACCGGTCTCTGCCACCTTCGCGCTGCGCTACCTCGTCAACTTCGCCAAGGCCGCGCCGCTGTGCGGCACGGTCGAGCTCGGCCTCGGCCCGGACGCGCCCCTGCTCGTGAGGTACAGCCTCGAGAACGCGGACAACGGCCACCTGCAGTTCTACCTGGCACCGAAGATCGACGAGTGAGGCGCCTGGGGCCTGCGGGCGCGAGCGCCAAGCTGCCACTTGCGCGAGCCCAGGGGTGGGGGGTGTGCGCACTCGGCGGCAGCCCTGCTGGGAGCGGTCGCTGCGCCTCGGGCAGCTGCCGCACCACAGGCAGGCGCCGACACCAATGGCATCACTCATTGGAAGGGTCTTCGGCGGGGGGAAAAAATACGAGTGCTCGAGTGCAGCGGAGGGGGGTGAACGAAACGGGAGGGGGAAGGAGCAGCCCGACTCAATTTCTGGCTCCTGGAGTGGCTTCTGGGGGCTTTCTGGGGGCGCCGCGGGCAACCGAAAAAGCTGCTCAGAAGGCGCCCAGAGAACTCGGGGGGGCCGAGAGGCAGCCAGGACGGCCGATGGGAGTATCCGTAGATTCCAGAATGGAAGGCGGAACCCGAGTAGATGCGTAGCTTCAATAGAGGCGCAAGGAGAGGCCCGAGACGGCCGGAATCGTCAAAATCATATGTGTGTTTACGCGTTTGTTTGCCCATCAGGGTCTGCAGGTGTTTTGAAACCGAGCGAAGGTGGAGAGGCATCCAGAGCGGCTCAAGGTGGCCGTAAGGTCCGAGGAAACAACTTAGGACGGTCCCGCGAGGCCCCCCAAAACAGGCTTGGGAGACTAATGGAGAGGCTTCTGAGAGGGCCAGGCGGTGCCCAGAAAACCAGCACATGAAACGGGTGTCGCTTTCGGACGGACATGATGGCCAGAGGGCGCCCCAGCTGCGCCCAAGGCCCTCGGGCCAGCGGAATGAGCAGTCCCGGGAGAGGGTCCATCCATGGATTCGGAGCGGCTCAGAGGCAGGGATACGTATGAAAAGTGCGTTAGTGAGAAGACTCACGAGAAAGCGATTTTCAGAAGTTCGCTGAGACCGCAGAGCGGGAGTCATGGCGGGCCCCCAGGGGGAAGCTTGCACGGAGATTTTGCAAGCAGTGGGTGTTGTGGATGCTGGCTCGACGAGGGTCGGTACGGCCATCTTGGAGGCCATCTTGGGCGTCTTGGAGGCCTCTTGGCCCGTCTTGGGGCCCTCTTGGGACCATCTTGGGGCCTCTTGGGCTGTCATGGGGCCATCTTGGATGCCATCTCAGGCCGTCTTGGGTGCATCTTGGGCCGTCTTGGAGGCACCTTGAAGGCCATCTTCTCCGTCTTGGAGGCCATCTTGGGCGTCTTAGAGGCCTCTTGGGCCGTCTTGGGGCCCTCTTGGCGGCATCTTGGGGGCCTCTTGGGCCGTCATGGGGCCATCTTGGAGACCTCTTGGGCCGATCTTGGGGGACTTGGGCCGTCGGAAAAGCCGAGAAGACGCAAATGCCAAAGTCCTTCAAAAACCTAATGGAAATCAATGATTTTGGCCTCTTCGGGCCCTCCTTGAGGACCTCTTGGAGGCCTCTTGGGTCGTGTTGGGCCGTCTTGGAGGCCATCTTGGGCCAACGTGGCCATCTTGGAGGCCATCTTGAGCCGTCTTGGAGGATTTTGGGGGGGATTGAGGTCCTGGGCAATCTTTTCGGGTGGCCGGCGGGACGGGCCGAAGCCCCAGGGGGAGGTAGTTCTTTTGGAAAAAGAACCAAGCCCCAAACCGCAAGGGTTCAGCACGCCAGGCACCCCTGTGATGAATCGACAGGGGGCGGCGGATCGAAGACGCCTACGGCGAATCACCGCCGCCCCCTGCCTCTTTGGCAGCGCCTATGTGGCCGACAGCTGGGCCAGAGCTTGGCGAAGCTATCGGGCCAGTTGTTCCCCGAGCCGGTTTGGAAATACTTCGGGGAACGCGTGGGGGAGCAAGAAGAGGAAGAGGGGGAGGATGAGGAAAAATGAATGAGGAGGAGGAGGAGGAGGAGGATGAGGCCTCTTGGGCGCCTCTTGGGGCACTCTTGGAGCCCCCTGGGAGCTTCCTGGGGGCCTCTTGGAGGATTTTTGGGGGCCATTGGGGCTTTCTTGGGGGCCTCTTTGGCCGTCTTAGGGAGTTCCTGGTTTGTCTGACGCCGTTAGAAGCCGTCTTGGGGGCCTGTCTGGGCCGTCTTGGGGCCTCTTGGGGCATATCAGGGGTTCTTAGAGGCCATCTTGGGCGTCTTGGAGGCCTCTTGGGCTGTTGTGGGGCCCTCTTGGGGCCGTCTTGGGGGCCTTTTGGGCCGTGATGGGGCCCTCTTGTAGGCGTTTTGGGCGATCTTAGGGGTTTCTTGCGCCGTCTTGAGCAGTCGGAATGCCGAGAAGAAACAAATGCCACAATCCTTCAAGTCCCTAGAGAAAATCAATGATTTTGGCCTCTTCGTGCCCTCCTGGAAGACCTCCTGGACGCCTTTTAGGCCGTCTTGGAGGCCTCTTGAGGGCCTTTTGGGCCGTCTGAGGCCATCTTGGGTGCATATTGGGCCGTCTTGGAGGCATCTTGGGGTCATCTTAGCTGTCTTGGGGGCCATTTTGGCCGTCTTGGAGGCCTCTTGGGGCAGTCTTGGGGGCCTCTTGGGCCGTCATGGAGCCATCTGGGAGGCCTCGTGGGCAATCTTGGGGCGATCTTGGGGGCCTCTTGAGCCGTCGGAAGGCCGAAAAGGCGAACATGCCAACATCCTTCAAAAACCTTCCTGGAGGGGGCCTTCCTGGAGGGGGGCCTCTTGGGCCGTCTTGGGCCATCTGGAGGCCATCTCAGGCCGTCTTGGATGCATCTTGGGCCGTCTTGGAGGCATCTTGGAGGCCATCTTAGCTGTCTTGGAGGCCATCTTGGGCGTCTTAGAGGCCTCTTGGGCCGTCTTGGGGCCCTCTTGGCGGCATCTTGGGGGCCTCTTGGGCCGTCATGGGGCCATCTTGGAGGGCGATCTTGGGGTCCGCTTGGGCCGTCAGAAAGCCGAAAAGACGCAAATGCCAAAGTCCTTCAAGAACCGAATGGAAATCAGTGATTTTGGCCTCTTCTGGCCCTCCTTGAGGACCTCTTGGAGGCCTCTTGGGTCGTGTTGGGCCGTCTTGGAGGCCATCTTGGGCCAACGTGGCCATCTTCGAGGCCATCTTGAGCCGTCTTGGAGGATGTTTGGGGGGATTGAGCTCCCTTCCGGGACCCCGGCGGGACGGGCCGAAGCCTCAGGGGGGGTTCTTTTGGAAAAGGAACCCAAACCAAAACCGGAATAATTCGGCACGCCAGGCACCCCTGCGATGAATCGACAGGGGGCGGCGGATCGAAGACGCCTACGGCGAATCACCGCCGCTCCCTGCCCCTTTGGAAGCGCCTATGTGGCCGACAGCTGGGCCAGAGCTTGGCGAAGCTATCGGGCCAGTTGTTCCCCGAGCCGGTTTGGAAATACTTCGGGGAACGCATGGGGGAGCAAGAAGAGGAGGAGGGGGAGAATGAGGAAAAAAGAATGAGGAGGAGGAGGAGGAGGAGGAGGAGGAGGAGGAGGAGGAGGAGGAGGAGGAGGAGGAGGCCTCTTGGGCGCCGCTTGGGGTACTCTTGGCTTCCTGGGGGCATCTTGAAGGGTTTTGGGGGGCCTTTGGGGGCGTCCTGGGGCCTCTTTGGCCGTCTGAGGACGTTCCTGGCTTGTCTGACGCCGTCGGAAGCCGTCTTGGGGGCCTGTCTGGATCGTCTGGGGCCCTCTTGGGGCATATTTGAAGTTCTTAGAGGCCATCTTGGGCGTCTTGGAGTCCTCTTGGGCCGTTTTGGGGCCCTCTTGGGGCCGCCTTGGGGGCCTTTTGGGCCGTGATGGGGCCCTCTTGGAGGTCTCTTGGGCGATCTTGGGGGCCTCTTGCGCCGTCTTGAGCCGTCGGAATGCCGAGAAAAGCAAATGCCAGAATCTGTCAAACACCTACGAGAAATCAATGATTTTGGCCTCTTCGGGCCCTCCTGGAAGACCTGGACGCCCTCTGGGCCGTCTTGGAGGCCTCTTGGGGGCCTATTGGGCCGTCTTGGGCAATCTTGAGGACATCTGAGGCCGTCTTGGGTGCATCTTGGGCCGTCTTGGAGGCATCTTGGAGCCATCTTAGCTGTCTTGGGGGCCATTTTGGCCGACTTGGAGGCCTCTTGGGGCAGTCTTGGAGGCCATCTTGGGCTTCTTGGATGCCTCTTGGGCCATCTTGGGGCCGTCTTGGAGGCCTCTTGGGCCGTTATGGGGCCATCTTGGAGGCCTCGTGGGCAATCTTGGGGGCCTCTTGGGCCGTGTTGAGCCGTTGGGATGCCTCAAAGAAGTAAATGCCAAAATCCTGCAAAATCCCTTCGGGAAATCAATGATTTTGGCCCCTCCTGGAGGACCTCTTGGAGGCCTCTTGGGCCGTCTTGGAGGCCTCTTGGGGGCCTCTTGGGCCGTCTGAGGCCATTTGGAGGCCATCTGAGGCCGTCTTGGGTGCATATTGGGCCGTTTTGGAGGCATCTTGGGGCCATTTTAGCCGTCTTGGAGGCAATCTTGGGCATATTGGAGGCCTCTTGGGCCGTCTTGCGGTCCTCTTGGGCCGTCATGGGGCCACCTTGGAGACCTCGTGGGCGATCTTGGGGCGATCTTGGGGGCCTCTTGGGCCGTCTTCAGCCGTCGGAATGCCGAGAAGAAGCAAATGCGGAAATCCTTCAAAAACCGAATGGGAAACCACTGATTTGGGCCTCTTCGGGCCCTCCTGGAGAACGTCTTGGAGGCGTCTCGGGGGGCTCTTGGAGGCCTCTTGGGCCGTCTTGAACCATCTTGAGGCTATCTTAGACCGTCTTGGGTGCATCTTGGGCCGTCTTGGAGGCATCTTGGGGCCATCTTAGCCGTCTTGCAGGGCATCTTGGCCGTCTTGGATGCATCTTGTAGGCCATCTTGGGCCGTCTTGGAGCCGTCTGGAGAGAAACAACCCTTGCAACCACCTCGGGGCAATCCTCCCAGGACCCCCGCGGGACGGGCCGAAGCCCCAGGGGGGAGTTCTTTTGGAAACAGAACCAAAACCAAAGCCGTAAGAAGTTCAGCACGCCATGCACCCTTGCGATGAGTCGACAGGGGGCGGCGGATCTAAGACGCCTACGGCAAATCACCGCCGCCCCCTGCCTTTGTGGAAGCGCCTATGTGGCCGAACGTTGAGGCCAGACCTGCCACGCTATCGGACCATGTGTTCCCCGACTCGGTTTGGAACGTCTTCGGGGAACACGTGGGCATCTTGAAGGTCATCGTGGCAGTCTGGATGCCATTTTGACCCTTTTCGGGCCTTCTTGGAGGACGTCTTGGAGGGCTC